TCCTGCGGCCGGTGGAGAAAACTCGTTCGGAGGCAGGCTGTGGGGGTGGAATTGATAGGTATCTCCGGGCCATCAGGGCCTGTTTTGGGTATGTTTTACGTCAACTCGCCCAAAAAGGAAGGACTTCGATGTCTTCCTTCAAATACAAAGCGATTTTGGCCTGGATCCCTTTGATTTCGGGAGACGGTTGATACAAGGCTGTTGCGAAGATGCTGTTGTTGAGGGGACGAGAAGTAGCCGATGGTTGCACAGATTCTTGAGGTTTCGGAGTAAACTTTGCCTCAAATTTTAGTGCTTCTTGAAGGAAGATCCTCTCAATCTCTGCAACCGATATGTTGTAGTTCTCAACAATAAAGTCTTCATGGTTATTCCAAAATGTAAGCTTGAATTTTGGGTCAAGAACCATTGCACACAAATAGACCGGTTTCTTGAGGGCGTCGTTGAGGTATTGATTGAACTTCGAAATCATCTGGTTCGCTGGTAGTATAAGCTGATCTTGGTCGTAAAGCCCCTCACGCGCCAAGTGAAGATGTTTGACTAAAACCATGTAAATTGGAAGAACCTTGTTCAAGGTTGGGTACTTTGAGGCACATAACATCTCAGTGGCATCGCTGAGGGGTTGTAAGAGTTTCATGATATTCCTAGCTTGAGTCCATTCGGCTGGTGATAAGAGGAACCGGGAAGCTTCGGCATTCTGTTTGCAGAAATGAGTGCAGGATTTGTTGAGTGAGATAGCTCGCTGAAACATGATGTATGTTGCGTTCCATCGCGTTGGTACATCGATATCGAGGCCTCTGATTTTCTTGGCATACAACTCAGGTTGGCAGGAGTTTACATCGTTCGCAAATTTCTGGCGACGCTGAGGGGTGAGTCGAACCCAAGAACATAAGCCGTGTACCCTCTTGAGGATTGATTGAGCATTGATACCCGCTCCGTCAGGGGCAGATACCAACAAATTGATATTCATCCGATTCGTTCCAGATGGCCGAGTTGATTCCACGTCGTCGACCGAAGCCATTGAGATCTCTTCTCCTTCATTTTCTTCATCCATTTCTCCTAGTGCAGCAATTCCAATCTTGGCTGCTAGGTTGATGACGTGCGCGACACACCCAAGAATATGAGAACCACTCTTGAAGTCAGGTAGTTGCAGATCGAGTTCACAAGCCATTTTGGCATTGACCAAGGCGTTATCGGCAGTGATAGTGTGTAGTAAATCTTGAGCTGAGTATTGTTCGAGTGTATCGTAGAAAAGGTCGGCAATTTTTTTGCCGCTGTGAATTCCTGCAGAGGAGAGGAGACCAAAACTTTACAAACAAGTCTTGTAACGGATCAAAATAAAAAAATCTCACCTTCAACATGCGGAACTGCAAGGGTCAGGTCATGCATTTGGAAGTACTCATCGATGAAATGAGCTGTTACTGCCATAAAGGCAGTAACATTTGGGGCCGTCCAAGCATCTTGAGTAAACGAGATGGAAATTTGTTTTTTCAGATAATTTTTTTCAATTGTTTTTTCAGATTCTTGATGCATACGGGTGACGTGTGTTGCAATTGATACTTGGTTCGTATTTTTGATTAGAGGTATGGCGTCTTCGTTGACAAGGGCAAGCAGTTCTCAGAAGGATTTTTGTTCGACAAATGCAAAGGGGAGGTCGCAGTCGGCAATCATGTAGACAAGAGCCGACCTCAACGTTTCACTGTTCAATTCGATCTGATAAATTGTAACAAAAGTATGCAGTGATCTCAGCCTTTGTCGTCATTTTTATATCAAAACTAAGAACAAAATTGGCTTACCTTGGGTTTGAGCTGGCCGCTTGTACTCCATTTCTTGATATCCATATGGTGCATTTTTGTTTTCTTTCTGAGATTTGGATTGGATAGGCGATGGATGTCTGAGAGATGTTGATGGTACATCTTTGTACTTCCACTTTTATCTTTTTTTACTGGCTTTCCGCAGATCTGGCCGTTTTTAATAATGACTTGACAGATGGCATGTCCTTCGATCTCCTTGAAATGATTCCAAACCCAACTGCGCTTATTTGAGGTAAGACCCGCTTTGGCTATGCTGATCTCGTCAAGTCTATAATCTCCGGGTTCTCGTTCGTA